TGAGGATCGAACCCAGGGTCTCACACATGCTAGGCGAACACTCTACCACACAGCCACAGTCCCCGCCCCTGGCCTCAAATTTTCAATCCTTCTGCTTCAGCTTCCTGAGTCACTGGAATACAGGTGTGTACCTGGCATGTGCCTTTTTAAAAAAAATTAATAAACAGGGTCTCACGATGTTGTCCAAGATTGTCTTAAGCTCTCGGGCTCATGATCCTCCTGCCTCAGCCTCCTGAATAGCTGGACTATAGTTGCAACCAACTCTATGAATTAAATCTTGAAAGAGGACAGGCATGCTTCTTTCTTAAAATGAATGGGAATGGGGAAGACAGGGAGGTTGGGTGTGGAATATATGGTATGTTAGCTATGTCAGGGGCATTTCTATAGATAGAATGAGAAGTTTAAGGGATTGTATGATTTTATCGTCTTCAGAGAATTTCAGGTTTAGCTCTGACTCCAATTTATGACTTTACTAGAAACAAGATCTAACATATTAGCTGGGTGCGGTGGCTGGAGAGGCTGAAGCAGGAGGATCATGAGTTCAAAGCCAGCCTCATCAACAGTGAGGTGCTAAGTAACTCAGTGAGACCCTGTCTTTAAATAAAACAGAAAACAGAGCTGGGGATGTGGCTCAGTGGTTGAGTGCCCCTGAGTTCAATCCCTGGTGCAAAAAAAAAAAAAAATATCTAATATATTTAGTATTTGGTGGTCATTTCTTAAGTTGCTGCTTTTATTTCTGTGAGTGGAGAACAAGGTAAGTCAACTTATTACAATTATGTCCAAAGTAAAAGTTTATAATGGGGCAGGGAGTAGCTCAGTGGTAGAATGTATACTTTGCATGCTCTGGGTTCCATCCCCAGCACCACAAAAGATAAAGTAAAAGTCTATAGGTTGTGAAGAACATCAGCAGAGAAACAGCCATTTCTCCATCACTGGTGGAAAAGAACTTGGAATAAATGTGAGCCCATTTTTAAAGATGCGGGTCAACCACAAGATCCATCATGGGCTACCCTAGCAGATAAAATAGCTTTACCACAAACACCTGGTAAGCCCCTTTTAATTCCTTCAAACATCTGTTATTTCCTATTCTCTGTGTGTCACTCAACATGAATATATTCTACATACAGGATCTCGAATTCTCTAAACATCCTTGCAAGGGAGACTGTATTGTTCCCATTTTATAGATGATGAATCTACAACTTGGAGAGGTGAATACTTTACTCAAGGTCACTAATGTAGAGTCAGGATTTGAACCTGGGATAGGCTGCTTCCCACTATACCAATGGTTTTAAATTTTGCTCTAGGGGCACTGTGGTCTGTCTCTATAAGATAGATATAGGGGCCAGGTGTGGTGAGAAACACCTGTAATCTCCAGTGGCTCCTAGCAGCTCAGGAGGCTGAGGCAGGAGGATCCCAATTTCAAAGCCAGCCTCAGCAAGAAACTTAGTGAGATCTTGTCTCAAAATAAAAAATAAAAAGGGCTAGGGATGTGGTTCAGTGATTGAGCACCCCTGGGTTCAATCTGTGGTACCAAAACAACAACAACAAAAAGACTGATGCTGAAACAGTTCCATGCCACTAGTGTGAGGTGCATGCAATATGCATGCACATATATTTTGCATGTAATCTATTTTTTGTGTGTGTGGTCTGGAGATTGAACCCAGGGCTTTATGCATGCAAGGCAAGTGCATGCAAGGCAAGCACTCTATCAACTGAGCTATATCCCCAGCCCTGTAATCTAGGAATCTCTGAATGGCAATGCTTTATACAAAACAAAATCTTTGTGTTTTAAAAAGATGGCATTTCACTGTCTCAAAATAAAAAATAAAAAGGGAACTGGGCACAATGGCGTATGCCTGTAATCCCAGTGACTCAGGAGGTTGAGGCAGGAGGGCAAGTTTGAGGCCAGCCTCCGAAATTTAGAAAGACCCTGTCTCAAAAAAAAAAAAAAAAAAAGGCTGGGGATGTGGCTCAGTGGTAAAGGGCATCTGGGTTCAATTCCCAGTACCCTGCCCCTAAAAATAGAGGTAGCAGGTGGGGAGAGGAGATCTCAGCCTACCTTCAACCTGGGGAGCTCCACACTGTCAGTTTTACACACAGGGCTTCTAGGTAAGCTTCATTAGAGCACAGGCTTTGGAGGAAAGAGAAAGAAAAGCATAATGGTATTGCCCTTATATGGGTCTCAGACCAAAGCATGACTTTTCTTGAAGTGATGCTCCAGAAATTCATGGCTTGTGATGCATTTGCACCCAGTTTTCTCCCTCAGCACTTCCATCTTGCATGTGACTGCTAGGGTGATTTCCCAAAGCCTCATGTTACTCTTCTGCTTAGAAACTTCCATGACTGCCAGCTACCTTTTGGTTAAAATCCGAATTCCCTCTTTTAGCATAGCCTTCAAGACCCTTAGTGATCTGGACCCTATCCACTTTTCCAGTCTTGCCATCCACCACTCCCCGGATCCCATCCTCCTGCCAAACCGGCTGACTTACAATTCCTGGCTCTCGTTATATCCACTGGCCAGCTCCCACTCACCCCTGGCACTTCAGATCTGGCCTGACCTTCCCCTGCTTTCCTGAACTTCTGGTTGGCTCAGGCCCTGCTTCAATGCTCCCTCAGCACCCCCTTCCCCCAACCTTCATGCTCATCTCACAGTCCAGCTTCTGTTTCCTTTTCTTGTCTGCCACTAGAATGTACTTTTGTATCATCTGCTTAACTCTGCTTTACTCCCCTAGAAAGACGTTTCTCAGGGAATTCGTTCTTTCTCTTGGGATAAGCATACCAGTCTTGCCTTGAAAAGCATACCAGAAATGCCAATGGCTTGATGTTAGGCACAGAGCGTTTTCAGCATGGGAGTTTGTCCCCTGCAGCCAAACCTCAATTTTACATGGAGGAGGTAGGCTAGGCTATAACACATGGTGAGAAAAATCTGTGGGGAAAAATAGCTGACTACAGGAAAAAAAATATCAAAAGCCACTCTTGAATCTTCCAGCTGACTTGGTTTTCATTTTGGAAAGAGCTGGGTGGATACTTGTCTCAGGTCCCCAAATCTGCTAAGAGTTAAGATTTTTTTAATACTTATTCCAGCATTTTTTAGGTGGACACAATATCTTTATTTTACATTTATGTGGTGCTGAGGATCGAACCCAGTGCCTCGTGCATGCTAGACAAGTGCTCTACCACTGAGCCACAACTCCAGCCCAAGTTAAGATGTTTAGCTTCAGACTTTTCCTATAAAGAGGGGATGACTGTTGTTAAGTGTCCTTTAAATGCTCAGCACACACCAATCTTCCTTCCAAGCCAGGAGCCTGAGGACTCAGCCATGTGGCAGAAAGGCCCTGCCTGACAGCCTTCATTGAGCCCAACCCACCTTGGCAGCTGTCAAGGGGGGAGGTGGTGCAGCAGAAAGCAAAGTCCTGCATCAGCCAGTTAGCACTTACAAAATGGTCACAGGGGTGGAGGGGGCTAATATCAATGTCAACGCCAATGCCAAATGCCAGAATCTGGGAACTGCTCACCATCCCCCCTTCAACCATCAGAGAAAAATTTATTTCGAAAAATAAAAAAAGGAATGCTCTATTACCCTGTGTAAATATGTTTAAGGTGTAGTTTCTAGAGCCATAGGGCAGGTTGAAAACAACAATAGAAAGGGTTTGGATCATTCTGTGCAAAAAATCTAATGAGATATTAAAGAAAGGCAAGGAAGTTTCCAGCACAGAGGGGGCAAACAGACCCATCAGAACGAGGTGGAAACCTGGATCAGCATGGTGTTTCTGGGTTATTCTGTAATAGCTGTTTCTCCTGATGTTTGAGGACTGGGATGAGAGGGTAACAGTCCATTGTAAGGATTCCCCAAGCCCCCAGAGGCACAGTGCTATTTTTAAAATGCACTGTTCTGTAAGGCAGCATGGCTCTCCAGTCACCAACTGCTTTTCCCTCCTTTCAGGCTGAGTCATCTCTCTGGTGTTCTGTTTAATTCATGCTATTTCTGAATGGGAGCAATTTTCTAACTACAACTTGTGTATTAAACTTGGTTTTTTAAAGACGTGGGCGAGGAAAGCCTTATCTTGGGGGAAAATAGTGCCAGTGGGTGTGGCTCATTGGAGGGCACAAGTCAAGTAAATTACATGACTCATATGAAATATCAGAAATTTGTAGACTTTTCCTTTTTACCATCTAGACATGACAAGTCCACTAGGGTGAGACTTGCACACCAGGCCAGACCTGAAGACAGCTCAGGACACAGGTGACTGTATCTCTCATCAGAGCCAAGACAGAGGTAGCCCCTTTGGTGCACAGCTCTGACAATATGCTCTGAGAATGAGACCCAGAGCCTGCCCTTGGATCACTAGCTTGTGGCTGTGGGTTGACCACCTCTTCCTTGCAAACATATGCACTCCCCACCCACTGTGGTTAATAAGGGAAAACAAAGTCAAAGGACAGCTTTGTCATGTGAAAGGAAAAAACATTCCACTTTAATATGCTTAAGAAGTCATCCGTACACTGAAACAGGTACCAGTAAGGCCTGGGTAGTCTCAAGAGCCAGAGACCGCCTCTACCCGCACAACGAGATTCATTAATGGCAGAGTTAAACAGGCAGTTAGGCGTTCCTCTGCATCAATGGTGGTTTGCAATCTTAACCCATTTTTCTAGTGAATGTTTCTTAATAAACAGCGCTTCCGCCTGCCCAGCATGGCTACTGGAAAGCTTAACTTTCCCTCTCCCAAACGGGACCACGCACGCTCCTTGTTCCTAAATCAGTCCGGTAGCCCACTTGGTCCTCGGCTCTCAGTTAGGGGTTGCCCTAGGCCCTGGGTGCCTCTGGCCAGTGGCTGCAGCAAACCTGGGAGCAGGTACCTGAGTTGGGCCCAGATGGGGTCTGCCCCTTGCAGGTCCACGCTGTGTACAGGGGCGCTTCTCCTTCAGTGGGACCTGGGACAACCAAGGATAGAGGCCTCCCCATAGCGTCGCGGCGCCACCAAGCACTCTTGTCTCCATCGTCCTCAACGATCTTGGAAGAAGGGGAAGAGATGACGGAAAAGGCCCTGGATTTGTGCCACCCGGCTGCCCGCAGTGTCCTTCTCTTTGGCCCGAGGAGCCGCGGCTCGCGTTTTTGTCTCGGTGGTTGTCGCGCTCGTTGCGCTGGGGGTCCGTCTCAGCGTCCACACAGCGCCGCCGCTGCCGCTGCTGTTGTTGTTGGCGTTGCTGCGCTCGCTGCTGCGCGCGGTCTCCCAATCCTCCGCTCCCGACAGCTCACGCAGCCTCAGGGGTGCGTTGGACGGCAGGTAGTGGCAAGCCCGGTGGCCACTGTGGTCTCGGCGAGTGGGGTCAGCGCCCAGGGCGCCCACCAGCACTTTGATGACCATGTCGTGGCCCTGCAGAGCCGCCAGGTGGAGGGGCGTCAGGCCGCCGCTGCCCGGGACGCTCACGTCGAGTGGCAGTCCCCGGCGCTGGGCGAAATCATGCACCAGAATGAGCTCCTCGTGGCGCCCGTGCTTGGCCAGCCAGTGCAGCACGGTGTACCCCGTGATTGGGTCGCCTCGCAACAGCAGCCCAGGCTCAGCCTCCAGCAGCTCCTGAAGCACCTCAAAACGGCCCTCGGCGGCCGCCAGAATCCACGCGTGCTCCCGCGGTTCCAGGCACAGTCCGCTGCCGTTCGGCCCGCTTGGCCCTCCGGGCGCGCCGGTGATCGGCTCCTCGGTGCGCTCTTCGGACAGCCACCCTGCGGGAGCCGCCCCCTGCAACCCCAGCAGCTCCCGCAGAGCTCCCCGCCTGCGCCCGGAGCCCGCTCCGGAGAGCATCAGCGAGCTGTGGGAAGGGGACTCCCGGGAGGCGGCGGCGACGGCGGCGTTGCCCCGGTACCTGTCCAGGCTGCTGAGGTCCACTCTCGAGGGGCGGGGCTGCGGAGCGCCCCTCGGGTTCTGCCCGGTCCGCGCGCGAGAGGCCTTGGGCGCCGGGCTCACGGCCCCTCGGGGCTGGGCCATGGTCTTACAGCTGCTGCCGCGGCGGTTCCAGCGTCTAGCGTTCGTTGCCCTTCCCGGGCCCCACCGGGAGAGGAACTGGCGCTGGCGGTGGGGAAGGAAGCGGCTTGAGCAATTGGGCTCAGAGGGAGGGAGCAAAGGAGGGGAGGAGGAGGGAAGGAGGGAGGGAGTAAGCTCGGAAAGGCCCCCGCGTGGGCGGTGGGGGGCGCCGGGGGAGGGCGGGCCAGCTGGTCCTCTAGGCAACCCGGGCTCAGGCGCCCTGGGTAACAGCCACCTCCGAATCCCCGGGGCACAGGCGGCCCCGCCCCAAACAGCCAGGTGAGCTCCGCAGCCCCGCCTCCGGCACTGCGCGGGCAGCAGAGGGCAGGCGCGTGGGCGGGGTGGGAGGCAGCCTGCGGCCCTTGTAGCCGGAGTTCAGAGCATCCCGGCAGCTGCTGGAGGAGAGGTTCTAGTGCGCCTCCTCCCTGGCGGGCTGAGCTCGTCGCCAGACAAGGCCTCGGAGAGCGTGATCTTTGAGCTCCAGGGCACTCGCTTCCCACCCCCTTCTTTCGCCCTTCCCTCTTATCTCTCCAGGAATCTCCCTGAACTTTGTTCCTGAGCCGCCTTTGTCCTGCGCCTAGCATTCAGGGAGGCTGTCTGGTCGCCCCATGTGACTCAGGTTCGTCTGCCCTGCCTTTTACGTGACCTTGATCCTCTCCGTAGAAATGGGCGCTGCCTTAGAATTCCTGCGGAGACTTCAGAGAAGACTTTCCAGGGAACTGAGAAGGGGTATTCCCCTGCCGCCCCGCGGCTTCCTGCTCCACTCTCAGCTTTCTTCCCCACTCCTCTCTCATTAACTCTCAGATTGGCTTGGAGAAGCAGCTACAGGTGAATCCTAACCAGCGCCACGGGAACGCCCCACCCTCTTCAGAGATGCCTCCTGCTCTTTCCCGAGGGACTATTTCGGCAAATTCAGAGCCTCGGGCTTTTGAAAAAGAAGGATATTTAACACCCCTCCCCAATACCGCTTACCCCAACCCTGATCTTGCTCATAATACCAGCCTCCTCTTTATTCTTCCCTTCCCCCAAATAATGATAGTTCTTGCCTTCTGTACCCTACCATGGTAAGGAGTTCAGTCTGTGAGCAATAGGGGTCCATAGAAGGCTCTTGAGCCAGGAAGGGCACAGCTATGATTAAGGTTGCGTTATAAAGATGATTCTGGGAAAGGCAGAGGCAAGAAGCGAGAAGACTATTCCAGCAGTCTAGACTAGATGGGGTGGGAGTTCTCACCAAGGCAGCCCACTCCAACTGGGCCTAATAGTGGCACCAATGATAGTGTCAGAGGCTTTCCTCCTTGATCCTCAAATATCTGGGCTCTAAATACCTTTCTGACAGCTTATACATTTGTAATTCATTTTGAACATTGACCATGTGCCAAACACTGTGCTAGATGCTTTATATATGGTAACTCTTAATCTTCCTAATGACCTTAGGAACTAAATATCATTACTATCCCCAGTTTGCAAAGAGGTTAGACCACTTAGTCAAGGTCACCCAGCAGGAAGTGGCAGAGCAGGTCTAGGTGACGCAGTAGCTTTTGTTCTGGCACAGAGGAACTGGCATTCAAGCCAGGCTTATCAACTGGAAGTCACCCATGCAAGCCCCGAATTCCAGCCAAATGGATGAGTTTGCCCCAACTTGAGCTGATCTTCTACTTGCTCTTCTCTACCAGGAACTCTCTCCCTCATAGCTTCCCTCTAGTGAAGTTCTCTGTCTTTCAAGGTCAGTGTCTGCCTTCTCCAGGTGGACTCTGTTTACCCTGGCCCAGAGTGATGCTCTTGTTCCCCAACTGTCTGTTTCAACTACTCCTTTGGCACCCAGCGTAGCTGGCCTTGTTTTATATTTCTCTCCTCTTGCTCTTCTGACATGTCAATTAAACTATAAACTTTGATGAGTATATCATATTATCCTTGTGCACCTAGTAAGAAATTTTTACCTTGTTATGATTTGACAGTCTGGGAAAATGTGGTACGTGTATGTGTGTGTGTTGGAAAGATGCATCCACAGCCAGAGCCTCCATGCCCACTCCCATATCCCTGCCTCAAACTGACTCTGCAGGATACTAAAAGCAACTCAGATTTGGTCAATTCATAAAACTTTTTAAAAAATAGTGATTAGGGCTGGGTTTGTGGGTTAGTGGTAGAGCACCTAGCACCTGTGAGGCACTGAATTCGATTCTCAGCACCATATATAAATGAATAAATTAATGGTCCATCAACAACTAAAAAATTTTTTTAGAAAATAGTGATTAAGTGGGTTCTTCCTTGGGCTATCTGACCAAAGCCACCTCCTGGTCTTTGCTGACTCCTCAGAGACCAGGCCCAGAATGGGCCCCAAACTTTCAGGCTTTCATTTTCAAAATGAGCCCTAACTGACAAGCAGCTACTTCCGTTGCTCTGGGAACTCCCCTTCACAAACCCAAAACTGTAAACACCAAACCACACACATGCACACATACTTCCAGAATATGCAAACAGCTGCAGCAATATTTTTTTTAAATCAAAATGCCAACATGGAGAATGCAGCACGGAAGAATGCTTGGACTATTAATTTTCCTCACCACTAAACAGGCAATTCCTTTCCTATCAGCACTAATAATATCTCTGGTTCCAATTCAAAGACTGTAAAGGCAGCCAGTCCCCATGACACGTGTGCCCTCGCTTAACTCTTTTGAGACCAAAGCCACAGTGTCTCCCTAGAAACTTATTTCATTTTACTTAGCAAATACTTTCTACCTCAGGATACCAGTTGGATACACTGTTCCTGAGCACCCCAGCATCCATCTCTATTTCAGTAGAGAGGGGCTCTGGAATTTGATGTCAGGGAGTGAGATAAAGGGAGTGAAAATAGAACCCACTTACAACTCAGATGCCAGGTACCTGAAGTATCTGCTACCCATTATCATCATTGTGTGTTTGTGTGTGTGTGTGTGTGTGTGTGTGTGTGTGTGGTATTAGGTGTCAAACATAGGGACATGCACATGCTAGGCAAGTACTCTACCACTGAACTACTCCTCCAGTCTGCTAATCTTCCAAGGGAGTGAAGTGACACACTTCAAAATCTTGGAAATGACATTTATTTGGTGTTGCACACCAATAATCCCAGTTACTTGGGAGTCTGAAGCAGGAGGAACCCAAGTTTAAGGCCAGCCTGAACAACTTAGTGAGGCCCTGTCTCAAAAAATTCAAAGGTGTTATGAACGACCAATAAAAAAAAAAAAAAATTCAAAGGATTGGAGACGTAGCTCAGTGGTAGAGCACCTCTGGAATTAATCCCCAGTACCAGGGGTTCAGGGGGAGTGCAGAAATGACCTCCCAAAAAGTTAGATATAGGCTGGGTATTTACATTGCAGATGGTAGTACCTGGTGTTTTGTCCAAGTAGCATCCTCTCTAATGCCTTTATGGGTTTATTTACAGATCCTGGACTATTAGAACTAAAAGAGATCTTGGCCGAGCATGGTGGCGAATGCCTGTAATTCCAGCGGCTCTGGAGGCTGAGACGGGAGGATCACAGGTTCAAAGCCAGCCTCTGCACTGATGAGGTGCTAAGCAATTCAGTGAGACCCTGTCTCTAAATAAAATACAAAATAGGGCTGGGGATGTGGCTCAGTGGTTGAGTGCCCCTGAGTTCAGTCCCCAGTACCCACCCCCCCCACACACAAAAAGAACTAAAAGAGATCTTAATGTTTCATTGATGTTCATTTTCCCAAAGTCAAAGAGATGGCCCAGTCACAGAAACTTAAAGCTGAAGTGTTAAGTGTACATCGGAAATCAATCTTGATAGAGAGAGACAGCAGTTTAGAAATATTATTAGAAGTCAGTGGGGAATTATAATTGATCTTAAAAAATTTAATTTACATGCAAGTTCTCAGGTACCTGCCCCTAGGGCAAAGCCAAAGGCCCAATGGGCAAGAGAAAGATGTATGGAAAATGGGAAGTAAATCTGTCAGGTTTTCATAATCTTCAGGGAACATTCTTGAGGTTCCTATTTGAGAGGAGATCTAATATTGAATACCTTTTCCTTAGACTATGGACCAAATCATATAGTAGACACTTCACAGATTCTTTCCTAATACTTCAGAATTAGTTTGTTCCTCAGTCTTTCAGTCAGGTCTGATATAACCACTAGGAAAAAAATTATATCACTTTGAGAGCTGGGTAACTCAGAATAGTGGAAGGTGGTAGAACCACTTAGACACATGTGAACCATGTGACCAGAGCTTCTCAAAATGACTGAGGATGAGGTGGGCAGGGAACAGAAAGAAATCTTCAGAGCTGAGTGGAATCAGGAACTTGCCTAAGACTCAAGCTGAAACTGATGGACTAGAACCCATTGGTCAAGCCTGAGCCCTGAGTGTGATAAATTTTTTTTTTCCATTTCACATTTGATTGATTCTTGGATTAAAAGAATTCCTATGTGCGTGTAGGAATACATGACCAATGCAATTCTACATTGTGTACAACCAGAAGAATGGGAATTTATCATCCATGTATGTATAATATGTCAAAATACATGCTACTGTCATGTATAACTAATAAGAACAAATTAAAAAATAGAAATAAGATGATTAAAAAAAATAATGCCACATTCTGGAAAAGGCCAAATGTAGTATCATGTGCAGACACACGAGGGCGCTCTAACCAATTAGCAATTGAGGAAATCAGAAAGACCACGCAGGTTTCAACCTGGGAGGAAAGAGGCGTGGTAGGCCCTTCCTTGCTGTGAATGGAGGCTTGTACCCTGAATCAGGCTGCTCACCCCTGGCCCTTAATTAACTACGTGGAAGGAGGTACTAGTGCCAGGGATTGAGGTTTGAAGGCCCAGATGTCATGTTGGAGAGAATGTGAGCAATCTGGAAAGAGAGAAGATAGTGAACTGTACAAAGTGGTTCCTCATTTTATTTATCTATTATAAGAGGAGTTAGTCGGCTTCTGTAATAATGAAAGGCTTAGAGTAATACTC